AGAGCAGTGACGACCGGCAGTATGGCAGCGATTGCACTGTTTTCCGGGACCTTGATACACGCAGCTGCGGTAATGGGTGTTGGTGGCACAAGTAGAACAAACGGATCGATCGACAGTTCCCGAGAACGAATGATTCGTCTCGAGGAGGTCCTCGACATTGAGCATACTTCCAGTCCTGTTGACGAAAATGTAACCAGCTATAATTCTGGTTAGTTTTTGATACTAGAAAGCAAGAGAGCGTACTTACAGCCAGCATGAGCGCTGAAGTTGGGGTCTCGCAGCATGGCGTGACGCGGAAGTTTAGATCGAATGATCTGGAGAGAATGTTAGCGATAGTGGAGAAAGAATCGAGAAGACACTTACGCGAGTAGGAACTCCAACAGGAGCGGTGAGCGCTTCCTCGTTGGTACCATCCTGGACATCGGGGTCCTCCTCGTTAGTGTCAGGACGGTCTAGAAGTAAGGGTTGACGAGTTTTGGAGGTTCGAGTGCGGTGTCGAGTGCGCTTGCCAGTCTTCTCCTTCTGTTGGACAGGAGATGGGGGACGCTCAGCGTCAGCGTCGGTAGCCTCTGCCTCTGGCTCGGTCACTTCTCCTTCTTCAACTTGGGTGTCGGCGGTCCTTTCTCCTTCTTCCTCCTCTTCTTCTTCGGATTCTTCCTGAGAAGCGTCGTCGATGAACGAGCTCATTGAACCGGCCTTCTGCTTTTGACGAGATTTAGACGTCGACGCGGGTTTGAGAGGAGAGACCGGTCGATTCTAGAAAGTTGGTTAATGGCCAAAATAAAAATAAAAGAAAGTAATGACTTACTTTGGGGCGAAGTTGGCGAGTATTCGAAGGTTTCGGGACCTGCTGCTTAGCTTTCTAGAAGGATAAAGTTAGTATCAACTAGGATATACTAAAAGTCAGTCCCTACCTTAGTAACTGGAGTCTCGTCGGGACTATCTTCGAGATGTTCGGACATGGCAGCCTCTTGGGCTTCGCGTTCGAGGGCTTGGACCTCTCTAGAACGTTTAGCCGATGGTTTGGCTACCGGAAGCGGTTTTTTGACTGTAATCGGAGGCGGCATCATAACTTGGGGGGTAGACTTGGTGGAAACCTTGCGAGAGGAAGTTGTAGGAGCTGAAGGGGCGTCAGGAGTGTTAAAGGGAGAAGGTTTTTGCGGAGTGATACCAGGGATGGCGCCAGCTTTGGCAGCGGGCTTCTTGGACTTAGGTGCAGGTGTCTAGAAGCAATAGAGGATATTTAGTTAGCACTTTGGATTCGAAATGGAAACTTACGTCGAAGAAGTCGTCGAGAAGATCCATGGGATCGCGAGGTGGCTCGGGCGGCAAATCTCGATTGAAACATTCCTGTAAAGAAGGAATTAGTTTCGGATCGTGTATCTTAGCTGGATAGAAATGCCTACATGGTGTTTGGACAGCAAATGGAGACTATCTTTTGGAAGGAACCAGGAGGGAGTGTCGGGCGCGTTGATCTTAGCACGCGCGTACTCGGACTTGATATTCATAATGACCAAGTGAAGAACGTAGATGGAGGCCAGAACCCAGTTTGGAACGCGTTGAGTAGCTCCAAAGTGTAGACGGTCGACCAACGGAGTCGCTTGTTGCAGAAACGCTTCGAAATCAGCAGGAGGAGTGGCGCGGCCATGGAGGCGATTATTCTCGAACGGTTCCACAAGGGCGGTCAAACTGAACGCAGCGCGAAGCTGGTCTTCGGTGAGGCTCATCTGGAACAACGTTAGTGGGTGTCAGTAGGAGAAGAAGGGAAGAAAGAAAGACGAAAAACTTAGGTTTTTCTTTCCCTAGACCCTTATAAGACGCGACGCGTCTTAATTGATCAGTATGTAAGAAAACAAACCTTATTTACTGAATGAGAAACGACGGTGTGGCTCCATAACTGTGAAGTATTACTTCACAAAAAGAAGCCTACGATTAGAACGACACTTTTGTGAAAAATCTGAGGGTATTCACATTCGGAAAAAGTCGGAATGCGGAAAGTTTAGGGCGTTATAGGATATAGACGCGCGCTTGAGCAAGCTAGCGGCAGCTTGGTATCGTGAGAAAACTGGCCTAAATAGGCGTAGATTTCTGTTTTGGTTAAGAGATTGGTTATCGAACTAAAGATCGCTATTATAATACTGTACCTCGCTGACCGAGGGCGGTCAGAATTTTAGTGTGGGGGAGATAACGCGCTTCGAATGCGTTTAAACGTACATTTTTGCGTTTTTACGTTAAATAGTAGTGTTCTAGAAACCTAATAAAAGGTTCTAGAAGTAATCATAGGGCAAACGAGGACTATAGTGAGTCTCGAACTAATAGTCAAAGAATGATAGCAATATCCTCGTTGTCTAGAAGTATGGTCAGTGACTTCTAGAAAGTCTACGATTGAGATATGAACTCCACCCAAATCCTAGAACCTTTGAATCAAGTGAAACGACTACGGTACTGGTTCTAGAACCAAGTTGTTATGGCTTGTAGGACGAGTGAACTAGGTAGAACATCGAATCTCAATACTAGTACCCTTACAAAGGTATTAGGAAGTTGACTAGAGTATTGCGCATTCAATTCAAGAGAGTAATAGTAATCTCTACCAAAGACAGAGTCAACAGTGGACTCTAGATACTAAAGGACGGCTCTAGAACAACGCCGGAACGTTGTGACTAAGTCAGTCGTAAGCCGATGTGGCGCAAGTGACGTAGACGCTTAACGGAGAGGATCGACGGTCTGAAAAGCCTATCAATCCGCTCGGAGAGACGTTCCGACCCAGATCTGAATATTCTACCGAGATATCCGGGTTCTAGAAATCATGAGACTGCGTGATAAGTATGCACGAGGCTCTAGAACCTAAATAGGGACATCCGACAGGAGTAGTGGCGCTCGCCACACTTCTAGATATTAACGGACCGGTCAGTACTGCAAGTAGACGCATGCTACTGATAGGGAGAGTCGAGTCATATTGCGATTAACCAATAGGATCTCGAGAAGACGGATTAGTAAAAGGCTTTAAGGCCGCCACTGATCGAGAGTCGAAATAAAGGGGTGATTCAACTCACCGCCTGATAACGGATGCGGAGAAACTTCGACGTATCTAGAACAAATATACCCAAGCAAGTAGTAGACCTTAGGAAATTGCGGACTAGAACAATGCACGAATTACCTAGAATATACCGTTACTACCCGAGAATAGCAATAGGTGACCAGATGTCACTTAGATATATGTTTTTGTATTTTTCTTTTCTTTTTATTTCTCGAACAGTATAAATACCATGTACAATAGCTCTAGAAGGACAAGGGGATATTGGCAGACAGCTCGCAGGAACTTCTCGTACTCTTACAGAAGCACCTGACTGCGACCTCTGTCACCAAGATCACCGAGAGTCCGAGATAACTCTATAAAATTTATCATCGTTTTTGTGGCTTATATTAAGCGTTCTACCGAGTGATTTAAGTCATTTATCTTTGCTGGCCTTTTCTAGAGACCTATTGGTTCTAGAACTGTTTTTGTTGGCTTGAGAGTTCTATAACTTTCTAGTCACAACGTCTTAGTTGCCCAAGTGTGTAACTCAGGACGTAAAACTTAAAAGAAGTGAATTCAGTTTGCTCTTAACCCAAGTGTGTTAGGTACAGAGCTGTTGCACCTTCATTGTCGTTCTAGACACTTACTAAAGTGTGAGAGGCCTTGCTCTTAACCCAAGTGTGTTAGGTACAGAGGAATAGCTCTTTAGTAACCCAATCCCATACCCTTTGATCTCGAAGTGAGAGTAATATTGGCACTTAGTGTGATTCTTCAATTAGAGACAGTTCTAGAAACACTAGACGTCTTCTAGAAAGCAGTTACCTTTGTTCTACGATATCTATAAACGGTTTCTACACTTAAGCACCGCTCGCACAACCGCCTGAACTAGGTCTTGGTCAAGAAGCATTTATACATTGATTGGGGTTTTGTTTGATTCGTTCTAGAGTCATTACATTGTCCTTTTTGGTGTGTTGTGGTATACCTCAGTTTAAGCATTTTACCGGCACGCCAATAGAATTCCACATCTTCCAGAATCACTTGTTCTTCCCAAAGCAATACCGACATTGACAGATTTCCATCATCGTGGCCACAAGTATAGCACCTCAACATCGCACAACGGTAACAGTGCCATCCAGTTTTACAACTACGACCGGAATTGCAGCACTGTCTGCACAGGAACTATACAGCACATCTGGCAGGTCCCCTTCAAACAACAAGCCCCTAAAAAACTTCGGATCTTTGTTCTGGTTGAAGTGGATAAGCCACTGTCAAGAGTGGAAGAAGAACACTTACCGTTCCATCAGTATCCACGCTTCAACACTAGAGTGGTAGATGCAGAGCCTTCGGGACTGTTTGTTGTCATCGAACCGCCGCATGTCTTATCCCATACAGTTGTATATGATCAGCCTACAGGGACGTTCAGCATTGACACAAAGACAAAGGTGGTATGTTTATTGTTGAACAGAGGGGTATTGATTAGAGTACGGGATAGAGGGCACCAGTCAGTATCCGCAAAAGATTCGGGAAACTAGACACCCAGCATTTACTTTCAGCTGTACTTTTCTTCCGTACGCAATCTACTCACTAATACATACATAAGTTGAATTGGTCGCTTCCATAAGATAAACATAGTTTAACGTCATTGCGGACGACACTTCAACAAATGAAGTTACACAGACATTGAGAAGTCTGCATTAAAGGCGTTCAGACTAATTTATATATACATCTTTGTATACTACTATATACAATTAGATATCTATGATACACAAAGGTATCTGCTGTAATACACAGATGTGACAGCAAGGACAACAGCAAAAATACAGGTGCGACAGAAAATGTGGTAACAGAATACAAAAAAAAAACAATGAGCGGGATAACAACATGATCTACTTTCCAGTTGTCAGAAGGTTGAACTTGGTTACCCAACAGGTCTAGATCACTATATATAGTGTGCAGCCCCCAATACCAGTACCCTGGTATTGTGGCCCTTTTAGCCCAGTGGTTAAGGCTTCAGGTTGCACAGGTCTGTTCATCACAGAATACCAGGGTACCCCAAGGGCTGGTTCAACCCTTGCATATGGCAAAAAGGCTATTGAGGGCATGACAGGCTAATTGGAGAGACCTGACATGCAATTGCATGAGCCACCATATGCAAGGGCCCCTAACTGTTGCTCACAGGCAAGTGGATAAGCCTGGGGGTTTCTATATATAGACCTAGGACGGTCTTGGGGACCAAGACCCTTAAGGGAAGGGTGATGTCAGAAGGTTGAACTTGGTTACCCAACAGGTCTAGATCACTATATATAGTGTGCAGCCCCCAATACCAGTACCCTGGTATTGTGACCCTTTTAGCCCAGTGGTTAAGGCTTCAGGTTGCACAGGTCTGTTCATCACACCAGTCCACTTATTCTTGTTGAGAGACAGGTCCGGCCTGGGCTTTTGAACATTCTCTCTAGCCAGTTCTCACACCATTTTGATGTGTTCCGCAACGGGCCCGAGAGGTTTCTGCTCCTTGCAAGGTGCACAGTCTTTGGTGTCAACAAGAACATTATCTTCAACTATACGTTGATCATTCGTGACCAAGTTGTTAAAAACCATGCATATCATCCAAGGCTCTTTCCAATGCTCGTCGTCGTCATACCGAATGTAAATTCTCTGCATGTACTTTCCGACGTGTGGACCTCTGACTGCAAGCAAGCCTCCTTGATAAAATGTAGGTTTGATAGTGTCCTTGCCTGTGATGTCGACTATGTGTTCAGGAAGAACAGAAAAGGGCTTCTTCTGCTGCCAAGTGATGACAACACAACCAGTGGCCCTGTTGGGCATTGCGTGGACTCGGTTCTGTTCTTCAAAAGGGGATCTGTAGGCCGCCAAGAACGTTTTGCCGTCAAGATTGGGATGCATAGTCCAATGCAAAGAACCCGGTGCTAACGAAGGAAATGGTGTCATAGACGAAGGATCCCAAGCTCCACCGTCATGGACAATTTGGGATGGAGGTGGTGTTCTAGCAACTGGCTCATCTCGTCTCAATGTTGATATTGCTGTGGGGTTAATTTGTACATAGGCCATGTCAGGTTCATAGAACTTTTGATAGCCGCGCAATGGGTAGGCCTGATTCAGGTGCATTCCTGTCCTTTAATTTTGCATAAGAACAAGGCCAGAAACACTTACTTGCAATCCAAGAGCCATTTGTAGTCCCAGTCTTCTTGTGCTCCTGTTCCTCTTGAGAAGAGCATCACCTGGTCAAATTGGACTGTGATGCGTAATCCACTCTTTAATTTTGGATTGTTGCAGACTCAGTTAGCCTTTGTAGTATTTGGAATATTCGTGATAAGAATACCATGTGTACCGCTTTAAACTGATGTCTAGACTCTACTTGCTCCGGATCCAGGGCCAGCTCATTATTCTTTAAATTTCTTTCTCGACTACTCTCCATATACTTATTTCCTGCTTTAGGCTTTAGCATTCTGCACAATCCACGGCGCTGAGCAGGTCGGTTTTCTATGTAAGTTTGGCATCTGCTCATCATTACATTTTACCATTCACCACTTCCATATACTTATTTTTTGCTTTAGCATTTTTACTGAGTCAACATTTATGTATTTGCCTTGCGTCATACTCACTTGACACTAAGTGTTGATTTACATATAGATATATTCATGTTTGTATAACTATCTGTCCGATCCTATTTAAGGAACCTCCTTTTGATGTAAGAGTTGAGAACTACTATGTGTTTTCACACTCTACGCCAACACCAGAACTAGCGGCCGGTTCTCTTGGAGCTTAACTCACCACAAACACATCAACAGCATTCACGCCAATCTTTTTGCACCCGACATCCTCTCGCCAGAAGCCCAACCAAACCACATATTCCTGTATCCAGCAACAATGGACCGGGTCCATCATATAATGTATTCTGTGAGTGCTTCACACTTTATATCTTGCAAGTAATAGAGTTGTTTGTTTCCTTTTTCAGGGTTCACTGAACAATGTTGAGAGCGCTCACCGTTTGGCAATGCAAACTCGGAGAACACATTGTTGCCAAGACAAGAACCGCCCTCCTGACATGACACCGACAATGGTGTCTTTCCAATCAGTTAGTTATTTTTGCCCTTCTCCATTCCGACTTGAAGCATGTAACTATATTCCTCTTTGGATATATCCAAAGTGGCCTTTGATTGAGATCATTGGAAAGGTTCTCAAGAAGGATGCCGAGTTCAAGGTCAATGCAGAGTAATATATCAGACTTCTCGGAGGAAAAGGTATACTTCCTGTACATGCCTTGATTTCTGATTCTGCCAAGTACAAGACAAAATACAACGGTAGTTCTTCCAAACCTGTCCCAAACCAAAACTCTTCTCTGAAGCTTTCTGGTTTTATCACTCGCGCTATTCCATGTGAAGATGTTTCTGAAGAAAGGGTGCACCGTTTCTGTGTTGCTATTGAGGGAGTTACTTTTCTGGGCCGGAGTCCAGGTTCTAATGTTCTCCTGGAAGGCAGGTGTGAGTTCCATTTATTCAGTGACCCATTCTTTAGTAGATTTGTCCTAATCAGGAACTCAGCTCACGTCCGAACTCAAACTGGAAAGTGCAAAAAAGTTTTAATTTTGACACTAATCAACCATCACTGGGTACAAAAACCTGTAAATTTTTGGAATTACAGTAAACTTACAGAGGAATTATGAATTGCCTACATGTCTGTAATTCTAGTGGAATTACAGTGATGACTTACAGTGAGATTTTGCCCATATATAGAAATTTTAACTCATAAAGTCACCCTGTAATCTCACTGGAATTACAGACATGTTTCCAATCCATAATTTCACCATAATTTCACTGTAATTCTCATGGAATTACAGGATCTTGCACCCAGTGCATCAGAGATCATCTGATCTTGCAATGGCGAAAGTTCAAAAGAAAGTCCAAACAAATGACGGAAAGGCTCAAAAGACTCTGAAACTACAGAACAAGTAAATGGTGATGAAAGCTCAGGGCAATGATGATCGCACACGCTGTCATGGTTCTGGTGCAAAACACTGAGCAAGAGATTCCATACTGTAGCATTTCGTTCAATTCGGCAGGGGATGTGACCTGTGACAGGTGGAACTGTTTCAGCACTCCGGTAATTTACATTTGGGACCGTGTCCTCCTAAGAAAATTCGGCATTTCTGAGCGGAAATTTTCTTTTTTGGTGCTGATTTATGGATTTTTTTCATGGTCACAACAGAAAATTTCGGCAGGACCGGAATTTTGCTGTGACTTCTGTGACAATTCGGTCAATTCCTGGAGGCTGTGACCCGTGACTGCCGAATTGAACGAAATTCTACAGTATACTATAAATTACTGCACAGTTCTCTCATGCCATGAATGCGACACTGAAGTATGTTGCTCCGTGCCGTTGGCATGGGTTTCTGCTAGTAAAAGAATATTACACTCCAAGTGTAACTTGAAGAAAACCAAGTATGAAGAATGAATAAACTAGAAAAACAACACTCACCTCGGGTCCTTCAAAGAATTCTTTTCACTCAAAAATGTCTCCAGTGTCTTGCCCTTGACCAAAAGCAAGCCTGAGTGTTACTAACAATGATTATTAATAATTAAACAAGGGTATATTGCATGCTTCTATGCTGTTTAAACTATTGTAGGGAGCAAAAGGAACGCACCTTCAGGACACGGAGGCATCCTTTCTAGCACCTGAAAGCCCATAAATCTTGTCCAAATGCACATCTGGTTCACAGTAAACACTGGGAAATTCTCCGGTCAAGTAATAGGGTCAGTATATGCAGCTTCCCCAGTAAAAGGAGGCTGAGAGGAAGAGGACAAGGGAGAGGACAGATATCAGCAATGTCAAGGTAATGGCATTTATTAAATAAAGATTAAATGTTCAGGTGAATACTAATTATCTCTGCGACCGCCAGTCTTATGAGACATTGAGAATATCCACAGGGCATGGGGAGATGACACAGGCTTGGAAAAAATTCCACTTGCCCCATATTTCTTGCTTGTGTTCTGTCTGACAGCCCTCCTATTGTTATGTTTAACACCGTTTTTAATGTTCTCCGTGTGAAACAGAGCTCAAAATATTGAGTGACCGAAACATACACTGGTATGGACAAAAAAAACTCTAAAAAAACAGAAACCTGTCCATATCTCCAGAACCAACCATTCAATTTCTATCCTTAGGAGCTCAAATTGAAGGTCTGACTGAAAGGAGCATACACATAACCTTTAATAGTCCCCAAAAAATTTATTGATAGATCTATGGATGAAAAACCTAAAAAAAAACACCAAAAACAGATTTTTTGCAACATACCTCCAGAATCAACCATCCAATTTCTACACTTAGAGGCTCAAATTAAGTATCTGATTAGAGAGTGCCTACACATAGTCACCAGAAGTCTCAAAAAAATTTATTGATAGACCTGTGGGCAAAAAGAAAACTGGACGATATCTCCAGAATCACTCTTTGCAAGCTCCAAGAACTAAGTATGACTAATTTCTTAGCTTCAAAGTAGGCAAAAAAAAACCTTTGCGTATATTGCACAAACATGGTTATGTGCTCAGCACTTATAGCAATGTCAATCTCTATGCAAACTTCACCAACTTGTACTTGTGACAACAGGCAATCAAACTTGTAGCCTTGTACTTGTGTGCAAAAAATTTTTGAAAAGTATATGAACCTGCAAGTTTCTGGAGCTCATGTTGGACTCTATATTTTATAGCTAAAAATTAAGGGGGTGAGGAAAGTGATTGAGCCTAAGGCAGAAACAAATGATCAAAATTGGGGGAAAGGTGAGAAGAAGATGATTCAACCTACCTAGTACCCATGACTATCTGGGTAGTGTCAGTCTGAATCCTTGGAACTAGATTTAAGCTTGGTCCTGAGGATTGGGAAGTAGATGACATTAATCACCCTAGGCCAGAGGCATTGGAGACTTTGTTAATGTTTTAGCTGGGACCAAGGCACCTAATTCAAACTTGGTTGGAATTGCTAAAATTATCATTGGTGTTGAAACTGCTAGAATTATTATTGGCATTTAAATAGATGCCTATGTTATAATGTGATTATGATTAACCCACATTA